TAATAAAAAAAATAATCTGGGCCCTCAACTGGAGGCCTCTGATCCACATCTGGCCCACGAGCCACCTGTTTGTGAACTTTTTCTTTCTCCAGATTTAAATGTATTCTCAGACATTTGAGTCAATAAAAATGTCTCCGTGGACCTCAGAGGTTTGAGTTGAGCGACCTGCTGCTGGCTCTGTAACGGTTTGGGACTGAATTCAGCTGCAGTAGAATGTAAACAGTCAGACTGTTTTTAATTACCAAACCGACTTTGTATACAATTTAAGTTTGGAAAACACTGGATTTGAACCAATTCGACGACCACCAGGAGTCTGGTTCTTCATCCTGAACTCTTCGTCTGCTTTTTTTTTAGAACTCGGCTGCAGGGCTGTTGATCCCGTTTGCACACAAGAGCAGTTGTGAAGCGGAGCAGAGAGGTCAGATGTTCTTGATGAGGCCTGGTCTAGAACCGACGCTGAGCTCCGTCCCAAAGGTGCTGAACGGGGTTGAGTTCAAAGCCCCGGGTCGGACGAGTTCTTCCACGTCAAAGTGAGGAAGAAACTGTTTATTGGTTTGACTCAGAGGCGCCGGGACGTCGGTTCAATGAAACGGGAAAAGAATCTTCCTTAAACTGATGACACTGGGAGGAAAGTTCAACGCACAAAACTTTACTTACTTTTCTAATTTTTGTTGCTTGTTGGTTTGTAGCTGGCAGTGAAAGGTCCAGGCGCCGAGCTAACTGTGAGCTAAAGAAGCTAAAGCATTTCATTATTTTTTTCTTAGCTTTCCTTTAGCTAACTTTGTTAGTGTTGTTGGTAACCAATTAACCATTTTTTTTATTAACTGTTAGTAACTGAGTGGAAGATTTTTTTATTTTTTTTGGAGAAGATTTACTTACCATATAAGGATATATGAGGTACAGTATTTTGGTTAGCGTTTAGCTTCTACATTTTCCAGTGTTTTAGCTATTTGATGTATTTTAGCTAGCTAGATTTTAGTTAAATAATTATCGTAGCTTTTGCTATTTTTTTAAAATACTTTTACGTACCTAACTTTGTGTTTATTCATTTTTATTCTTTGGTCATGTAGCTAACTTTTTTTTACTTTATTTTCTTTCTTCTATTTTTCATTAGCTTTTGATTATTTTTTCTGACTTCTAAATATTTTAGCCAACAGAAACCACAGAGCCGTACTTGTTTATTTTCATATTCTATGACGCTCACATGAGTTGTTGTTTTTTTTAGTGCCTGTACTTCAGAAAACTCAAGCTCCTCCACTGTTTCACCCAATTTTCTTGTATTCCATCTGTTTTATGAGCCCCCCCCCCATCCCCCTCAGCACTCTCAACCTCACCCCTCACTCTCAGCGTCCACCCTCCCACACTGCTCTGCCTCTGTGGAACAGAATATTCCCTGGTTCACCCACATATTTACAAACAGCTTCCCCCGCTCAGGCCTGATACCTGTCAATACACATCAAAATCACAGCATTCTGACAGACTGAGAAGAAGAAGAAGAAGACGAAGAAGAAAAGCAGAAATGACGCATGATGTTGAAAACCACGTACGATAGTGAGATGGAGAAATGGAAATGATATTTATAGGATTTTCTTCCTCGTTCACTCTCTGCGTTCTTACGAGACATAACAAGACAGACGAGACGTGATGAGACCAGACAATTCAGGCTGCTGGGGCTCACCGCACATTGTGTTGTTGTTTCTTCTTCTTCTTCTTCTTCTTCTTCTTATGATTATTAGAGTAGAAAGACTGGAGTGAAAATACTGAGGAGGAAGAAACGTAGTTTAATAAAGCTGTGCAGAGGCTGACAGGGTTGGTGCGTTGGATGTACGACACATGAAGCCCTGCCTGTCGGAATCTGGTCAAACAGAGCAGCTGCTCATTTTAACGACATTTTTCTCAGACATTTGAAATGTTATTTTTTTCTCCTTTTCTCTGTTGATTTAAGTGTCATGTAACTATAAAAAAAAATAAAACACACACCACTTTTCTGGCTGTACTTGTACGGTCAGAAAAGTGGTCAATGCTAGTAGAAGGGTGGCATCAGTGCGAATGGATACACCACCATACACTTCTAGTTACTTATTTAAAAGTATGGTATGGTTAACATTGTCACAAAAAAAAACAAAAAAACAAAAACATAGTTAGCCAAAACGGTGGGTAAAGATTAGCCAAAATGCAGCTACAATAAAACTTTTTAAATTCATTTTAGCTATTTAGCTATTTTTGTAGTTTTAGCAATTTTGGTAGTTATGCTAATTTCAAGCCTGATGTGGCTAATTATACCCTTCTTTCATTAGCTGTTGGTTATTTCATTCCTAACCCAGAAGTGATGCAAACGTAACTGGACAGATTTGTTGTATTTCAAATTTTTCATATTTGTTTTTGCAGTTGTACTATTCATTTTCTGGCTAAATTAAATAAAAAAAAAAACACTTCAGCACCAGTGGACAACACTAACAACTTTACAACTAAACCAGTAAAAAAACCAAACCAAACCAAACACGTTGTCATATCTTTTAAAGCTCTTACACACCGCCCACACGCCGCTGCTTTAGCCGTAGCTTCACGGTTTTGGAGAAGAGAAAAGGTTGCAGCGCTGGAACATGATGGGGGCAGAGTAAAAGTCCAGGTCAGAGGTGAAGCTGAGAACCATCAGGAGCAGGAGGGCGCCCCACTAAGTAGCTAATTTCACTCAGTGCCCTGGTCCCGTTGCCTGGATACTGAGTGATTCTAATGAACACTGTTGTGATACACATGTGCTCCCGTGAACCGCGCTTTCCTCACACTTGCTAATGTTTAAGTTTCCGGGGCCGCGTTCTGTGCAGTGATGGACGTTAAAGCACACGTTCATTTTTTTTTTAAATGTTGCCTGAATGGAAAAAAAAAAAAAAAAAAAAAAAGAGAAAGAGAAGAAAATGTAAAAATGAAGAAGATATACGGTAATGTGAGTTTGTGGGTGGATCTGAGTTTCAAGGTCATGGACTAAGACCCTCTCTGTGTGGATACCTTTCTCCTACTCGTTATTTCTTCTATTATAGCACTGCATTATTACATAAGATCAATTTGCTGCATTATTTTACCTCCTTTTTTTTTCAAAGCAAACAGTAAAACTCCTTTATATTTCCTGAAAGGCTGAATGGTACCACTGGGACCTGGGCTCTTTTAGCAATTAGGATAACTGAACTCTCTCCCTGAGTCCGCTCTTCAAATGAAGTCCCCCTCCCTCCCCTCTCTGGCGCTAAGCTGATCCTGCAGGCTAATTGGCCTCTGGGTTGATGTGCGGTGTTTACCAGAGATCCTCTGGGAGCTGGATCAACCAGAAGGAGGCGGCGAGGGGAGTTCTGCGGTTCTGCCCAACCAACGTCAGCCCCGATGAAGGCGTAGACCGCTAGTACTGACAACTGTCCCCTGCAGCTGCTGGTCAGGAACCAAACCTCCAGCCTCAGAGAAAGGTTCACGTGAGGTTAGTTTTGTCAGCAAGTTAAGGAGAAATAAGTCTAATTACTAAAGCGCTGATCGTAGGCTTTTGTAAATAATGGAAATAAATACATTTCTTTGTATTTAATGTCTAAGGTTCACTATTAGCATCAAGGGCTGCAGAGATAAAGGGGATTCGCTCATTTGAATACAATAAAGAAAAGATAAAAAAAAGCATAACTGGGTTATTATTATTATTATTCATGAGGCTAACCTCTATCCTTCTGCCTGCAGGTGGTGCTATGAATGCATTTAAATCCCCTGGTCCAGCGGCCAATCATTAATGGCCATCTGTTTGAAAGGCATGGCTCGGGGGCTAACGATAGCGCAGAGCTCCTCTGGTTTGTAGTGATGTTGATGAGAATACATTTGTAACCTTTTCAGATTGATTCAGAATTAGACAAAAAAAATCAGTTAGAAAGTTAGAGTTAATGCGTTAGTCATTTTAACAATCAGGTTAATCTGGACCAATCACAATCATCAAAGATGATCTAGCAGGGAGCCTTTGCAAAAAGGCTAAAGTGCCACATGTGGGTCGGGAGCGACAGGTTGAACCACCCTGCCCTGCCCTGACCTTTACAATGACAAACATACTGTATATCTAATCTAATCTAATCCCTACATCTAATCTAACAATAATAATTATCTTATAGATTCATAGATTAATAATAATCTCCTTACATGAGGAAGTGTCCCCAAAACAACCTGAAGTACAGCTAATCCCTCTCTCTGACTCCCCATCCAACCTAAAACCATCCATTTTCACTCTTTCTTCTCTCCGTATCTTCATTATTGAAACAACCGTCTGTTTGAAACGTCGGCCAAACTCACACATTCCTGTCTGATTCCTGAGCACGTCGGGGAGTCAGGCCAGAAACGTCTCCGAGGTTCCAAGCAGTTTCCCCAACTTGCTAACAACGTAGCTGCTTTCATAATCAGTGCGAAGTTGGAGAAAAGTGCAGCGCAACCGATGAAGACTTCTCCGAGCGTCAGGAAGAAGTTGACACCTAAACACAAAGCAAGGGGATCAGAATACATTAGATTTAATTGGACTCTGGTCGACGGGAAATGTTTGTGCGGACTGAGAAAAATGAAAATACACGTCGTCGTCTGAAGACGGAGTCGGTTTTACGGCAGATTCAAACACGGCGTGAACGGCAGAAGTGGTTTGTGACTGTTCTCTTCTGAACTGAACTGACTTTTCATTTGTTTCTCATTAAATCATTTTTTAACAGTAAACTGCTTCCTGCAGCAGTCGCCAGTGTTTGGCTAAAATAAAGTCCATAATTAACTTTAATGTAGCAATAAAAATAATAATTGAAGAGTTTCTATAATGTAGACATTTTATATTTTTTAACATAATATTTTTTAACACTCACTTCTGTCAACAAAACATTGTATTAAACACTGCAAATATATTTTTAAGCTCTCCTAAGCCTTTAAATAGGAACTCAGGGGCTGACCAATCAGACGGATGTGGAGCAAAAAGACTAAAAGTCCAAAATAAAACATCCAAAAACAAACAAATAAAAACTACAAACACTGGGGATGGAGATACATCTGATAACATGAAGAGTCAAGTGCATGTAAATGAGGTCAACTCAAGAGGCAAGGTGTGGTCAGTGGGTGTGGCCATGCAAATCTGAGGGGCAAACTGACCAATGGTTGGAAACAGGAAGTGGGTGTGGTCTTTTCAAAGGCTGCAAACATTTAAACAAATCAGGAACTGAAATCAGATGAGACAGGAACTGCACTGGGAAAACAAGATTTATACAAAGTTGAAGAGTTTTTTTTTGGTCAAACAAAACCTGCTTTTTCACCTTTGAATGTTCTAGAACTTTAGGACAGAACCACAACTGACAATGTGTCTGTTTACAATGGAGGGAGCAGGAGTGTGGCTCAGGTGGTCACTGCTTGAAGGAGAAGGACTTTCACCGGAACAGGAACAGGAAATGACTCCAATACAAATGGATTAATGGAACAAATTGATTAATGGAAATATCCCAGAACACATACTGAACAACATCCACCATCAGAGGGGAGCAGCGCTTGGACCGGCTGGAGTAGCTCATCATCGCTAGGCCATCGCAGCTACTGTAAGTCTTGAACTTATTATTCTTTCTCAGGTCTGTGGTTGCTTGTTCTGTGTGTTTATACTCTATGTGGCCACTAGTAGGAGAGAAAGTAGAGAGCAGCTGCTTGGCTAAAATGTTTATGGTTATCTTGGATAAAAATGGGCCTCTTTTTTTGGCTATATGTTAACCTGCTATGTTAGCTTTTAGCCTTTTTGTGAAGGTTTTGGCTGGGCTAACTTTAGCTTCTGTGGCTACACACTGTTATTGGTAAACCTTTAGCTTACTGCTTACTAGCAGCTACTGCTAACTATGTGCTAACCCTGCTGAATGTTGGACATTTCTGTGGCTATTCAGTGCTAATTTACAGCAGTGTCTTAGCATTTTAGAGTACCGTATTTTCACGACCATAAGGCGCACCGTATGAAAAGGCGCAGTCTCATTTATGTGTGCCATTTCTGTATTTAACACACACATAGGGCGCACCTGACGATAGGGCGCAAGTTTTATATACATATCCTTTACTACCATACGCACGTCAGCCTTACAACAACACACACGCATACAAGTGTGCGTATTTTAAAAAATAAATTGTCGGCGATGTGCTTCTCGCAGTAGGACCGAAAGTTCGCCAGCTTTTCAGAATAATCCGCCGGACGTCGCTGCGCTACCGTAGTCCTGGTCCGGATGGAAAAATGGCACCGTTTCATAAAACGCCAGCACCAAGACGGACCTCCTTGGAAATGTTCAATTTTCATTTCAGAAAATACGGTAATTCTTAAGCGTTAACTTGACATTTTGTGGTAAACATTTTTTGTTTTGATGATGGAACTCAAATGGCCTTGAAATATAATTGAAAAAAACACAGTTCACTGCCATTTTGTTCAACGTTTCTAAACATGGAAAACATTGAATTCAAGGACACGGAGGAGTCAACAGGACTGGATGTTGTTGTGAAAAATGCACTCAGGGTTAGATGTTGATGTCGGTCGTGTTTTGTCCACGTGTGTTTTGGTCACAAATGTTGGTCCCGGTGGGGGACGATGGTGGAAAAGCAGAGGCAGGTAGAGAAGATGAGAAAAGAGAGAAAATCAATCAGCCAATAGAACAATTTAAATCGTCCTTCAAAAAGGAAGAAGAGAAACTACACATGTGGAAAAGTCAGTCAAGGACAACAGCAGCGTCCGGTGACAGAAACATGGTGAGGGGTTTGATGGAAACCCCCGAAACAGCAGTCCATCTCACAGACCCAGAACTCCAGACCAGATTGGAGGTGTCATCGTCAGCGTTCCGAGATTTTAGGCTGCAGTAGCTGCAAACCGAAAATCGTAAAATGGTGCGATGTAGCTCTGCGCGTGGGAATTTGTTCCCCTCAGATTTATAGACATCTGAGAGCGATGGCAAACATCTGTCCAGCTGATGAAGAGCTGAGTTTGTTTGAAGACGGACTGTGATCATGATTCAAAAGTACAGTCTCATCTGGGTGGAGACGCTGTCCTGGATTCATTCGTCTCTGCTGCAGGTGTGAGTCATGGCGGCAGCGGGAGAATCGATTCCAAAGTGTGTGTTTTTTTTTTTTCTGCTGCTATTAATTTTAAAGGGTTTGACAAAAAAAATAATAAAAAATCACACAATTCCAGACCTTGACCTTAAAACAACTCCTTCTTCTCAGAGTTTTCAAGAACAGTTTTGAATTTCTTTCCAGCACCTTAACCATGGTCTTTTCTGTCTTTTTAACCATGTTTTTGTACACTTTTTAACAGTAACCTTTAGTAGTGCACCTATTCTTTGAGCTATTTTTCAGGGTTTGGTTACATTTCTAGGTTTTGTCCAAGATTTGTCTTTTATCTAGTAATTGTTGGGATATGTTGCAAACCTAGTAACGTTTAAAGTACGAAAAAAGTCCCTTTAATTTTATGACCTCTGCTTTACCGCTTGCTTGAGTTTTAAATATCCTTTCGCCCCGGTATTATAACATTTCTTGATCATCAAAATGGCGGACCGTACTGTCCAACTCGGCCCGTGATTGGATTCCAAAATAAGCGTCAAATAATAATATTCGCCAAAAATGTGATTAATCTCACTCTTGGAGTGTACAGCCCATAAGGAGTCCAGAAAAAATCTGGACATAAGAGCTAAAAATGCTAAGCTAAATGACAACGTTGCATTATTTTGTTGCTGCCATTTGGAACCAAACTGTTCCAAACCCGTGGTTCTGCCTGAGTGAGATCAACAGGAGCCTCAGATGAACGGCAGCTCACAGTGGTTTCCCAGTGTTTGAGCTTTTCTCTCCTTGTTTGTGTGACAAGTGAGTCCACTCTCTTCTGCTAATACCCAATTAGGGAGATGATTATTGATTGAGGTGTTGAAAGTTGACCGCTGATCTCCTTTCTCTCAGGACCGGGCGATCGATGGCTGACTTTAATGAGCAGCCCACATCTCTTTTCTAATACGTACAATTAGATTTAGTCTCGGTACATATTTGTAAAACAACAGTCGGAGGCTTAAAGGTGCAAATATTGGATTTTTTTTTTTTTAACTTAACAACACACAAAAAAAATGTCTTGTAGGCATGAAATTAAAGTTTCGGATATTCCAGTGTTTACCATTTTATCCTTCGACTCAAAGTCTGCTGCTTTTATTTGAACCATCCCAGACCCCCGGGGGAGGTGGGAGGGGGGAGCGCGGCAAACAAACAGTGATTAAGAACTAAACTACATGAACTAACCAAAAAAAACCAGCGTGATTTTTGCTAATTATTCCCAGGAGGCATCGCTCCGGCCGCTTTTCCACTTTTTTTTAGCAACTTTGTTATGATCAAAGTGTCTGACAAATGACTGAGTTTATTTCGTTCCCGGCCCACAGAGGGCAGCGGAACAATCAGACCCAGCAATTTTCAGGGGCTGTTATCACACAGTGGAGTTTGCTTTTCAAGGACAATACGATTGTTCTTGACACGCGGCTGCTGCATCGCCGCAGCGGAGTTCAGAGTCAGAGTCGGTTTTTCAGAGACGGTGGTGGAGAATTAGAAAAGGCGGCGAGGACGACCCTCAGTGATTGGCTGATGTACTTGATGCTGCGTCCATCGGACAAAAGGACAAAGACGAGGATTTTTTTCATTCAAAGCTTTTCTCATCACCTTTGTGGTGCAGTGGTTGGATCCCTGCCTGCCTGTAGAGGGTTACAGGTTTGATTCCTTAAAGTCGCTTGCTTCAGGAAGGGCTTGTTTTTTTTCTGCCTTTGGTTCAGAGATGCTAACTTGATGAGAGAGTTTTTGAAACTGTAAGTTTGTTCAGCTGCTGCTTTAGTCGTTTGTTGCTGTAACTGTTTGACGATCGAAGATCCCGTTCCATGAACTTTTTTGGCCAACATTTGCCTTTAAATAACAGACTGGAAACTGCCCCACCCATCTGCCCCTGGTATTAGGGCAATAACTGTTAATTAAAGGGATCTTCCACGACCCCTAGAGCATCTGCAGAGTTACTGCAGGTGAATAAATGAAATTTGATTGTCTTTTACATTTAAACTGAAAACCATATAGAAAATACATATAATATACATACATATATATTAAATATATACATATATATCTACGACATACAAAATGTAGGATGATTTTATAAAATTTGTAACATTTAAACCGCTTCTTATTGGTTGTAATATATCAATCTATACATGATGCATATATATAAATACATATATAAATATTAAACACATACACTACGTAGGGTTATCAGTATTTTATGGAACATCTAAATGTTGAACTTGGATTCAAACCTGCTTTTTAAGAGCACGATTATTTGCACAGATTTTCAGAAGGTTTCCAGTTCCGATGTTTCCTCCATAAAAGGTGTCAAAGTCAGAAATAACACTGCACCTGTTTTTTAGGAAGTGCTCTAACTTTTGTGGAAACAGGGTTTGTGAAAACTTGACATGTCTTCTGATTTCCTCCATTTTATTTTTTTAAACCTGTCTTCCTCCGTTGATGTCGTGCTCTTGCAGTGTCCTGTTAAAAACACACACTTTCTGAGGAACCCAGGAACATGGCTGGCTTCTGTGCAGACAAAGTGTCATGTTTGCCTCCCGGTTGTCACTTTCTCTGAGGAGAGATGTGCCACACTCCTCCAGCATGAAGTCTCTGTGGGCCATGTCCTGGTTTAAAATGCAGTGAGGGAAAAAAAAATCCTTAAGGGAGCTTGGCCCACACACACACACTCACACTTTCCAGAGTTATTGTAAAATACACTCCGGTGCCGAGCAGCCAAATAAAGCCACCAGCTCTGTGTCTTCACAGTAAATAAAGCCTTAAGTCGGATTCAAGGCCCGGCTCTTCAATAATAAACAAAACCCACGCTGGGTTTCTATCATTATCTATTATTTAGTGCACAATCAATAGGAGGCGCTAAGCTGCACCAAAGCACATGCCTCTAAAAGCGTGATTAAATTGTTACTGATTTAAGATGGATCTCCTGTCTTAATGAATGATCAGATTCACAGAGTTTTCTTTAATTCCCACTGTCGGTCGTGAACCTCTCAGCACATATATGTAAATTTTTTTTATATATCAAATGCTCCAAATTCTAATAGTTAGCTGAATATAGCTACTAAAATAACTAGCTAAAGTAGTAAGCTAAACCAACACCAGCTAAATAGCTAAGAACTATAGTTTAAAGATGATGAAGTTTAAGTACAGTATTTTTACTTTAACCACCTTTTCTTTTTTAAAACAATTCTTTTTTTTTTTTTGTCCCTCCACACACGGTGCAGCAACATTCATCATCCAGACACCATTAGACCCTGTTACCATTTTAATGACCTCATTCCAACCTAGAAACCGGGGAATATTCTAGATATTTCTTGCCTTATTGATCAGTAATCCACCAAAAACCATCACTTTAATGTAAATGAATGAATCCACCAGAGACTCCAACGTCGCCCCTGATTCCCCAGAGGGAGGGGTTAAAGACGGAGCCACTCCGTCCCTTAATGTTATGATCATTTAAATATTTCTTACGGTGCAGTCC